CTTCCCAACCTCTCCTTATAAGAAAAGGGTGGTAAAGAGAAAGGGACTAAAATTAGGCCTCCGGCACCACACTCATCAGACTGTACACGGAATTGCTTTCATTTCACGCCTGTCTTCTGTGTGGTCGTTGTATTACACCGGGCGAGCCGGCCCTGCAGTGCTAAGATATTAAAGCGGGCACTACCACTGTAATTTGTAAGGATTTCAAAGTTTACATTACAGGGCGAAAAAATACCAACACATGTACGATACAAGATCTCGTTTCGACAATCGTTATATTACTAAAGAGCTTAGGAATTTGGATTTTGAAAGGCTCAAAGAAGGCAAAGAAACGGTTCTGCCGTTGAATCGTCGAGAGAAAGCCAAGTATATTACTGTAAGTCTAATTTTTGTATTAGAAATAGGAAATAAAATGTTTTATGCAAATTTGATACTAATATCTATATAAAGTGATCCGATAAATGTCAGATTGGTATCATTATTGATTTTCTGCTCTAAATATCTTCATTAGCGAAGGCTTTTGTGATTGAAAGTTCAACCTTATACAATAAGCCAGTGATTCTCAACCACTGTGCAGCCAAATTTTTATTATTAGATTGTGACTAATCCTTTAATAAACGTTTAGTTATTAGTTTATTTCGTATGTTTATAATTTTTTTAATAAAATATTTATGCAGTGTGTTGTAAGTAAATATTTTTTATCTTTTACTTTGTGTCGCCAAATTTTGAAATCGTTAATGGTGCCGCAACAAAAAAAAAAGGTTGAGAATCACTACAATAAGCATTTCTTTGTCTTTTGTTAGATATCAACTTCGTAATATGTTTTTACATGTTGGAAAGGGGGGATGGCTGAAAACCAGCTCGACACTGGATCTCAACCAGTATCGGTTAAGCTGAGCCTCCCCCTTTTGCCATCTGTTACAATTTTTTCATGTATGTTTTTTTATATTTTAGAACTCTTTGTGTATTCTTGGATGGCAATAAAAGGTTTTTATTAAAATTATTTATTATTTTTCAGACAACTTCATTTAGATTATTGGCGTCAGAGAAAATCTATCTTACTCGATCTATTGTTCATATGGTGATTACAACATTTAAGCTACTTATTCATATGGCTGCAGACTACAGTCTGTATTGGGTTTTGATGACGATACGATATCATGAAAGATTCCAAACGCCTTTGCAACGTAAGTTGTGATTTTTACTTAGATTACGTGAAGTGTCTTATCTAAATAGTGGAAACAATTTGCATTGAGTTGTAATTTCTATTAGAGATGGTGAATATTCATAAACTTGCTATGATGGTTGATACTTCTTACTAATATCATAAATGTATGAAAGTTTAGATAGATGGCTGTTTGAGTGTTTGTAGCTTAAACGGCTGAACGGATCTCGACGAAATTTGTCATAGGTGTAGAGGATAGTCTGGAAGAACACATAGGCACATTCACTTTGATTTTTTTTAATTCCACACTGGTGGAATTTTAGTTACTCTTCTTTCGTGTTCATTTTCTGTTTTCTTTTCTTTAGCTGGACCTACAAATGCGGGTGTGCATGTATCAGGCAATGGTCCTGTGGCAGAAATGCTTCGTTCTTTGATTGGATTCTTGACTTTACCTCTGTCTGCACACCCTTCTTCTACAGTCTCCTGTCTACCTAACCCTGATCCACCTGATTTGTATCGTTATACACAAATCGGTAAGTGGACTTTATGGTAAAAGACCAATAATATAACATCATCATCATCATCATCTCCTTATCCTACTCTCGTAGGGTCGGCGCAGCAGGTTTTTGTCCTCCACATAACTCTATCATACGTCATCTTAGTCATCACTCCCTTTTTGATCATGTCACCTTTTACACAATCCATCCATCTCTTTCCACTACCTCTACCGATGTACCCTTCCACACTCATAACTAACGTTCTCCTTGTAACATGCGATTCATCCCTCCTCATAACATAAAAGACCAATAATGTAACATTCCTTCTTTTATCTTGTCTTCTAATAATTTAGTAATCCGATAATTTAGTACATCTTTACAAAAACAAACCACGCTAATGACTTTTTTTTGCCGAAGTGGAATGCGTTACGCATACTCCGTGCCTCGGGGCAGACACGAGAGTTATGAGCGACTCTCCCCCCATACAATATGAGGGCATACCTCACTAAACCCCTCCGTTCCCTCCTGACCATTGTGTGGGGCGCCACGGGATCGCTTTCGCTTGCCGCCGCGACACCCCACACCATGCAAATACCTAGATTCATTATAATAAGTCATCACTTAAAAAATCCTCCAAACTAAACTACACTTCCAAGCAGTAGAAGAAAGAGTCCTGTCCTAAATTATCTGGCATTTTTTACTCATTTGGTGTCTTATAAATTTTTATACACAAATAAACAGCTATAAGTGTTTAGTAAGGTTTATACCAGAATTCAACCGTATTTTTCGTACAGGTGTACTCATATTTCTTCTATGGTTCTTTGCTCTGTTCGAGCCTTATGGACTAAGACTGAGCCATGTTATAATGGGACATTATCGACCGGAACGCGCTAAAGCCAGAGCCTTATGGCTTTACAACCACATATTAAAGAGTAGAGGTATGATACCACTTACATAGGGTTAATAATCGATTCTTTCTTATTATTTGTCATCCTTCTAATAATTGGTGTCAGTATTAAACAATGTTATATGAAAATAGCGAAGTATGACGTATTTTGTGACGCTGTTAGTTTCGATGTTACTACAAATTTATTCTGAATATTCAACAGTGTGAGAGAATTTCACGCTCTATATATTTCGTTCCCGTTCTCTTGTTTTAATGAGGCGCTTGGAAAAGCTCTAGTCGTATACTTTTTTAATAAAAATATTAGGTATTTTTAAAGATATTAATAAAGTCAGTTCTACGCAACTAAGGCAAAGCAATTTGTACACTATATTCCTTTTACACCTCATATTGCTGTACTTTAACTTGTAAAGTAGTAAAAAGATTGTTCCTATTTATTTACTAGACATAACTTTCATATGTCTAATAATCATCAACTTGCCCTTGTCCCAACAGAGGGTCAGCACAGTATGTACTCTTACATAGATACAAGGGTACACAGTGCTCATAAAAAAATATATTTTTTAATTATAAACGTCGAATTAGATAACAAACACGTTAATTGTAACTATGAATTAGGGTACACATATTAAACAAAAAAATATAAAACAACAAGAGAAAATTTAAAAGCGTTACTGTTGGTAATTCAAGCCGAGGTCCCTTCCCTATTCATTCCTTTCTTTCCTTCAAGTTCGTTATAGTGTAAAGGACATCTGTTTGTATGATAAATTTAATACTTCAGGTGGTTTTATGAAGTTCGCAAGAAGAAAGTTGCATAAAGAATATAAGTATTTTAAAAAAGATGAACATACTTTCGTGGAATGGCTGGATTCTTTTTTACCGTAAGTAATATTTGTACATAAACTAACAGAAATTCCAAACATCTTTCATCACATTTGCTGAAGGAAATCACAAAAATGTAGAGTTATAAAATAATAGACATTCCTTTAAATGTTGTTGCAACTTTTTGTATCACTTCCCTAGGTCAACCGTTAAAATTGTGGCTTCTCTTTTTAATCCGTCTATGAATTTTTTTAAAAATTTCTGTAGATTTTTGTTTATCTTACTAATATTATAAATGCGAAAGTTTATATGGATGGATGAATGGATGGATGTTTGTTAGAGTTTGTAGCCTAAACGGCTGAACGGATCTCCATGAAATTTTGCACAGATGTTGAGAACGGTTTGGAAAAACATATAGGCTACCTAGTTTTTTTTCTACTTAGAGTCGCCAGCGTAAGCTAGATTACTATATTTCCTTTAATCATTCCAACTAAGCTCTAGGCTTCGTCTAGAATATGGTTCACGATAATAATCGAATGGCGGGATTCGGACCCTTGACCTCAAGATCGGTAGTCCATACTATAAACCATTAGGCTATTGGCGCTTATATCAGTATTTTTGTAGTAGAAGAGTTGTTTTTATTTTAGATGCTGGTGGTTACGTTGTTTATTAGGAACTATACCAAAAGAACCAAATTGTTTACTATGTGGAACTGTTGAAGAGCCAAATAAATTAGATTCTAAACTTGTCAGGTACTTGTAAGTTTAACGAAATTAGCATATTAAGGGTCTGTCCCACCACTGGCTGATAGAGGCACAGATAGCTTAATAATGACGTTACTGTCAGATAAGGTAACAAATTCTGATATTTTTATCACCTATCTTACACGTTGGATTGTTATTAAACAAATTACAATTTGCTGGGACAGGCCTTAAAAGTTTGTTCTTAATTTTCTATAGGGATTATGTTTTAGTTTTACAAAAAAAATGAGATTTAGATTTCAGTGACGTAAATTTTAAGCTTTCTGAGCTTCTATCAGCCAGTGGTGGGACATGCCCTTGATAATCTGGCCGTAGATATAAAAAAAATCTTTTGTGTTACTCTTGTCTAGGCCTTTTTATAAGAATTGGTTAATTAAAATGTTTTCTAATTTAGATGTGATACTATAAAATGTCCTGGAGTCTATTGCCAACATTGCTTCAATGATTTGGGACAGTTATGTACAATTTGCTTGAACCCTGTGGACTACGGCGACTTAAGTGATGTTAGTTTAGAAAAGTGAGTGTTAAATGTTCTTTAAATATTTGTAACGAACTGTTGCCCGCGACTTCGTCCGCGTGGTATTAAAAAACGTATGAACTATATAAATAACAAAAAGCTACGAATCCTTTGGGAACCGGACATTTATCGGAGATGAAGCTTAACCCGTGTATACTCCAGACTTTGTTTTACATCTGTGCCAAATTTCAATAAGATATGTTGAACCGTTGCAGAATGATCGAGTAAACATTAAAAAACTAAATTAATAAATCCCACAGGAACTAACTATTCCCGGGATAAAAAGTAGCCTATGTGTTCTTCCAGCTCTAAACCTGTGCCAAATTTCATGGAGATCCATTTAGCCGTTTAGGCTACAAACGCTAACAAACATCCATCCATCCATCTAAACTTATAATATTAGTCATTCTTCGCATTTATAATATTAGTCAGATATATCTAGATTTTTTCTTACTTAATATTTTCTCATTTCTAGAGGTTCTTCCGAAGATAGTAACAGTGATTGTCAGGATTTCGATGATCAAATGGACGCTGAGGATGATGAAAATTTTAAACAAGACGTGAGTTTATCTATACTAATATTATAAAGAGGAAAGATTTGTATGTTTGTGTGGGAATAACTCAAAAACTACTGAGTCGATTTCTTTCTTTCGAAAATTTCTTACACAATTAAAGAGCTTCGTTATCAGTAAGTGATTTAGGCTATTTTTTTCACGTGGACCAAGTCGCAAGCAACCGCTAGTTATAAAATATAACAATTGTTACTAAACATGCAAATATTCTGTAGTTAAAAACTGTGTTACTACTTCCGCTTGTCTATGTTAAGAAATTGCTAATTTATGAGCGAATAAAATGAGTAAAAAGCACATTATTTTTTATTTTAGCACAATACTATTGACAAACAAAAAAACATCTGTCGGTTTGAATTATTGCCAAAAAATCAAACCGATGCAAGAAATTTGTTTATATCTCAAACAAAAAGTAAATTTACAGAAGAGAATTCATACAGATTTAAGAATGGTCGACGTCCTCTTGCTGAACTGAATGGGAATCAAAGGAAAGAAGACATTTTACAAAATTTCCATAATGGTTATCACCTTGATGTAAAATTTGAAACGAATTTACTGCCTTTAAGTGTATCTAGTAAACAATACAGTAATATATATCCTAGCAGCACTTATTACCCTACAAGTGTTGATGAAAAAGTTGAAAAAAATTGGAGAATATCTAAACACAATGTGAAATTCCAACTCGATAAAGATTACCATAAACATTCAAAAGAAAATAAAGAAAACAATGATTCTAGAAGACTTTATTCAAAGTATAATGATGCTGGAGACAATTTTAAATATAGGAGGAAAATTAAAGAAAAGATTGACGGAATTAAACAGAAGCCAAACCTTATTGATTATCTGAGAAGTAAAATAAGCAAGATGCAATTTCGTAGAGTAAAACTATTTTCCACAAGTCTACCTACATTGTGCGATTCTAAATATAGCTCCTACAAATCCAGGAATAACTTGCACATCTTAGCATCAGGTTGCAGTGATTATCCTTCCCCAAGATCTAGTTACTATGAGATCAAATTTAAAGCCAGCTCTCTAACTGTTTGTAGAGTGGAACAATCTAATAAATTTGCCAAAAATCTGCGACATAATTACAAAAGCATTATACGGTGCAGCAGCAAAGATAGGAAAAGTAATTCTCGTCTGTTCGCCAATGAAACTGATTATTGCAGCTGCGATTACAACTTCATAGAACCGCAGAATGTGTCTGATTATTGTAAAAGTTCTTGCTTTATAAAATCTAATAAATCAGAAACGAATTCTAAACAAACGTTGGACAATAAAAAATCTAGTAAAACGCCTCAGGATGAATCTAACAAAGAAGATTTATCTAAAACTAACGAAGGCAATGATAATTCAGCAGGTCAAGGTGATAAGCAAGAACCTAATAAACCCGAGAGTAAAAGCACTTGTCGTTGCATCAAGCGTATGCGTAGGTTATGCTTCTGTCGACATAGGAAATTCAGTTTCACCCCGTGTTCAGTTTTCAAAAAGGTGTTCAGAAGTAACAAGAAAATCTCACCCAGATCTCAGAAAACTAATCATAAAAAGAGAAAAAAGAACAACAGTCACTCTTCAAGTCGTAAAAGCGATGAAAATATCAAAGAAGATGAAGCTGCTAGAATTTATAGACTGTCTGAATACATCGGCCAACAGGATTGGAAGAAAACACAATTTAGTAAATCTAATCATTTGGAATTAAAAAAGAGGAAGATATTTAGAACTAATTCAGCTAAAAGTCTGCACAGACTTAAACTTCATTCTGGATCTAAAATGGTCGATGTTGTTAATGTCCCAAAAGTAAGTCACCATTTGACCTAAACTTGGTATAAATTATATTATGTGTATATTATTGAAATATTTACCTTTATCAGGCTAAACAAAAGAAGAATAGAAACAATAGGAAATTAATAAATGCAATTGAAGATGTAATAGCTGGACAAGAAACTGATATTGAATTGAAATCAAATTCGAAGAAAATGACCATCACAACAGGAGACGATACCAGTAATGTGGTTTTTATAATCTATACTATCTATACTATCTATGTCTATATCTATATCTATATCTATATCTATATCTATATCTATATCTATATCTATATCTATATCTATATCTATATCTATATCTATATCTATATATCCATATCTATATCTATAATATATCTATATCCATATTATAAAAAAGCGTAAACACACACTTCTTTTTTGCCTAAGGTGTCAACAATTACAGCATATTTTTGAATAACCCTTTTTTAAATAAATAGCCCTACACTTAGGTCACGCTTTAGGGTAAATATTTTAACTCTATTAAACTTAGGGGATAAATATTTTGGATAAAATTCCTAATAAGGGAAAGAGGCCATAAGTTGCTACCAACATCAAGGAAGCAAGGTTGCCAAGGTTTGTCATGTCATGTCATTTTGACATTTGCTATAAAAAAATTGACAATAAAATAAAATTTTCATGATTTCATGCGGATGAAGCCGCACGGGAACAGTTAGTTTATAATAAACTTAGATAATGGATTTATGTACCATATCCACTTTGCTAAAAAAAATATTGTTCTCTTTTTAATGTATGCTTTGTTGATTGAAAAATTTCTTTCAACAGCGAAAACACCGAAATCCTTACTGACACACAAATGGTTTAATAATTACTACTCCTTACTACCGAATACATCATCATTTTCTTTGAGAACGATTATGAAGGCAAAGAGAGCAGGTAGGCTTAAAAAAATATTTCATTCGAGTAAGGGAATAAAAAAATGTAGTTACTTTAATGTTTAAATCACTTGAACTTCATCTGAAAGGTTTTTCATTTTTCAGCAAACTCTGTCTCTGATTATGGAATGTCTCGAAGTTTAAGATATTATTGTTCCATAGGAAATACTGAATTTGATCAAATTGATTGGCCGTAAGTTTGTTTTAAAATAATTGTATAAAATGATTTGTTATTTGCTAACGTTGTTATTTGGAACAGGGATGCATTTAAAACTAGAGGTCTAACGAAACATTTATTGAAAAAGGAAGAAGGAACTTTGAAATCGGTAAGTCGTATTTGTGACTGATATTTATTTCTGGGGTGTAGCACGAAAGTTTGCGAGATTATTCGTAACGTCATCGAAAAACTGTTTGGTTTATTATAGTGCGGTTAGTGTTTGTTTTAAATTTGTCGTCTTCGATTATTTTCTTGCAATTTTTTATGTTACGTCTCCAGGTTGATGATCTCGTAGTGTTTTTCTAGTTTAGTTTTTGTTACTTGTTTCTATGTTTTGGCATTTTTGTTGTAGTTAAAGGGAGAGAGTGAAGCCTCCCCGTATCACAGCTGTTGCTGCAGTTCCGAAGGTAACTATTTTTAATCTGTTTTTATTCAAATATCTGTTTTAAAAAAATACACAAGTAGAATAATTTTCTTTTTTGTTTCAGATATATCCAAGAAATATTTGAACAATTTTAAACATTACCAACCCAATAATTTAGGCAGTAAGTTGTTAATTTTATTCTTGTTTACTAAACGTACGTACGTACATTATAATATTTCAAAATGTTATTTATTTTCAGCATCTTCGGTTACGTTTAATTTCAAAACTGAATTTGAAATGCTATCGAAACCGGTTCGCGGTATTAAACTTAAATCCATCAAACAGTAAGTTTACACCCTTGCTACAAGTTTTGCCCCTGACTTCGTCTACACAGAACTTATTAACAAAACTAATTGTGTATATACATACGTTCGACTTCGAACGGTAAAACTGTTCGTGTCTCCATCGCTTGTTACGCGCTCTCGCTTGCACACTCCGTTCCAACGAAACGTAACAAGTAGTGATGTTTTTCGTGGGCGTAGTCTATATTCATCGATTTAGAATGTACGCACACTTTTGACTAAACTATCGCACAACTGTTTAGTCTCCCTTTGATTCCTATGAGCTTATATGGAGGTGCACACTACTCGAGTTTTTAGTTGTGCAACTAAACAGTTGCATTGGCTGCGAAACAATCAACAATCGCACAACAGTTGTGCGATGGTTTAGTAAAGGTGTGCGCGCGCTCTAACATCCTCATAGACCACTTTAAAGTTTGTTTTCAAATTGTTTTTCTTTTACAGTGCAATGTCTGATCGGTTTCTACATTTGAGGTAAGTGGAATTATCTTATATTCAAATAAAATAAGCAATGTCTGACCCTTAGAGATGCACTGCTATTGTCAGAAAATATGTGACACCTACATGGACATAGAAAAGGTCATAAAACGTAACACGTCAAAGTATGAAAAGGTTTGACCCTGTTTTGACATTGGTATAAGGGCGCTAGTGAGCTGTTGCAATTTAATTTGGATTATGCCCACCGGACAGATAACTTGTCGTTCTATATTAACTAACTATTGTTTGCGAATTCGTCCACGAGGAAATAAAAAATCTACAAAAAAAAATTAACATAATTACTCGGTAACTATGTAGCATCTAATGATTATTTGTACTCTTTCCAGTTGTTTTTACGGTTATTTTTACGCGCAAAATACAAATCTTCTCTTTATAACATTTGGTTTTAAAATGTTGTATATTTGTTAGTTATTTATTTCTTCCGTTTACTACTCAGTTGATTTCAATGTGACAGTTTAGGGCTTTAGGACAAACCTATTGTGGGGTTCTTTTCTCGAAAATACCTCGTGATCACTACAAATAGACAACAGATTTTAACGGTGAAAATTATAATTAAGGAGGCAAATAATAAACTAAACATGTCGACATGATCCATGACGAAGTTTTACTACGGTGTACACCTTCCTAATTCCTGTTCTATTACTATTTTAGTAAGAATTCACTAAAAAGGTCATCATCTTCCATCTTATCCTACTTCTGTAGTGGCGCAACAGGTTTTTGTCCTCCACATAACTGTCATACGTCATCTCATTCATCTCTTTTGTTTTATATCATGAGGTGGCAAACGAACAATCGGCCACCTGAATAGACATCCGCAATTGCAGATGCGTTGCCTACCCTTGTCCGAGGAGGAGATGCACATAAAGAGGATATTTCCCCTTCCTATGCATCTCCTTCACCGTCAAATCCACTTCCCCTTCCCATCTTCTCCTTATGAGAAAAGGGTGGTAAAGAGAAAGGGACTTAAATTAGGCCCCCGGCACCACACTCATCAGACGAAACACGGTATTGCTTCCATTTCACGCCTGTCTTCTGTGTGGTCGTGGTATTACACCGGGCGTGCCTATTCGTGCTAAGATGTTAAAGCGGGCACTACGACTGTTAAACACACCCCTTCTTAATCATGTCACCTTTCACACCATCCATCTTTTCATCTCTCAATAAGGAGGTCAGAATTTAAAAAAAGAGTTATGTTAACCTCTTTGTAAAAAAATACTAAAGACTTTGACGATGATAGCAGAACTTTCAAAATGACTGTCAATCAAAATGTCAGAACTGAGGTGTCATGTATTAGGTTTGTTGCGCAAATATTCAAAATTTTATTCCAGTATTTTAAATACATTCAGTGAACAATTGCTGTTGTTTCTTCTACCCTCATTCCTATCGGATCTGATGCTGCAAAACGGATAAAAATTATATGTAGAATAGACATTGAAATGGGATCTTTATTTAAGGTGTGATTTCTCGTATGTTATAGATTGTTTATGATTGATTTCTTTTCAATCTTTATCCTATTAACAACTAAATTTAATTTTATAACGAATATTTAATTAGTTATTTTCTAATTTGTAAAGACATATTTTTTAAACGTCTACGTAAATATTTGGAACACATCTTGATATGTTTATTTTTAAGTTTACTTGGGTGTCTTTATGAATGATCGAATTTAAAATTCTTAATGCTACACTATATAGTTGAAAAATAATCTTTTCGCTCTGAATTTAATTTAATTTGTATTAATAATGGTGTAAAGATATTTATATCTCGACGTTGAAAGTAATTCTAATTTGTGTAAACTAACACTCGTGTTTGACATTCTCTACTTATATTTGAACTTAAGTGATATTGTTTTTAACTTATAATATTATATCTAGCTAACACAGGCTTTTGGATTTTTCGTGTGTTTATTATTATTTTTGCAATAAAGAAATAAACGTCTTTGGATTATATCGTCATGAAGATTATGAACAATTCTCTTTCAGATTAAGAAATCCACTGCCGTTGGTAAGAGATTTTTACTCGAGTATGCTTGATGCGAAAATGAGAAAAACACATGGTAAAGAAAACGACGGTAATTATAACAATTGATTGTTTTTTTAAATAATAAAAGAATCGATACTTATTTTGTCCATGATAACATGAGATAAATAAACAATTTTGAGTTTGCAAATAACAAATTATTGGGTCTGGTATTCAAATTTAAAAGACAATATAATTAAATCGACACAATTTGTATGCGATTTGTGCAGCGACTCTACCGGGAATTATGTCGATACGAATGCTTGTAAATTTTTGCGCTACGCTCTCGGGATTTTAAAAAAATAACATGTCCATGGTACAATTGTAATGAAATATGGCATTATATACAACTGCGGATCCAGGGGGGGTCATGGGGGTCTTGACCCCTCCTGAGCTGGTTGGTCAATAGTTTGACAAAATATATTTACATATTTTGTCAAGCTCTTGACTTCACCACGACTATGTGACCCCAGGATCGACCCTTGATCACATAGCGCAGTTATGTGGTCTCAAAATCTTTGCAATTTTTTTTCAGGTAAATGTAAAGCCGTAACGGTTCATCCGAGACGTAAATCAGCGTATGTTTTATCCGCATTACTTTTAAATTTTTAATTAATTGTGTAGAACAGAATAACATCGATGAAATTATGTTCTCGAATTGTTAATATATCATGTACTAGCTTTCGCCCATGACTCCGTCCGCGAAAGAAACAAAAGTAAATAGCCTAAGCGGTCTTCCAGACTATCCCCTACAATTATGCCAAATATTATCAAGATCTGTTCAGCAACAAACTCAACAAACATCCATCCATCTAAATTTTCGCATTTATAAAATAAAAAAATATGTATTTGTATTGATTTTCTTTAAAAGGACTTGCCAGTGCGACGGTGTCTGCGACGCTGAATTAGGCGACTGTCCAAATTATGAATTTAAGAAAGAACGAGTTGGTAAGTTTATGTAATTAAACTTGTATGAAACATGCCATACCAAATTTAGTTTCTTTTTAGTTTACAAAACATGCAAATTTTTAACTTTATGAAAAGTCAAACCAAATTAAAAACGCAATAATATATTGTATAACTACATTCTTCATGTTCTATTATGGACCCCTTATTTAATTTATGATTTCAAACTCAATTCTTTTCATTATTGCAGAATCGACCAATCGACGCCCTATGCTGTAAGTATTATCCCATCATCCATTTGGTCAACAATATAGGTTGTCTGTTTTAAACATTTAGTCACTTGATAACGTTTACCAAAAGAACAACCAAAGACTACGATGGTTATTTTTCTTACGGTGGTATTAGAACTCATGAACTACGTAAAAGTCGGTCCTATTAAATTTTTGTAAATTATCTGATTACAATCCAACGTGTAACATATGTGATGGAAATATCGAATTTTGTTACCTTATCTGACAGTGACGTCATTTTTAAGCTGAGCCTGTATCAGCTAGTGGTGGGACAGGCCTTAAAGCTTGGAAATGTACCATTTCATAGTATAAGTGCCAATTGAGTAAACGGCCGTCTAATTTCTCTAAACACAGAAGACCCTAGATAAGTCAAAGTCCAAGGAAAACAAAATATTTTGAGTTATAAAGGTTTTAAGTTATCAAGGGTCTATGTTATAGAGGTTTTGGGCTCTGATGGGAAGGGAACGTATTATTTTTTGAAGTTATAGAGGTTTTTAAGTAACCGAGGTTTGAGTTATCGAGGTTCTACTGTATATCGAAGTGATAGTCCATAGACATGCGTAGATACGTTACTTACCTTGAATCGACAGATAAGCGACGCATGAAATTAGGATATTTCCCCTTCTTATTCTTTCCTCTGCCACCGTTACTTTATTAACGTTGGTATGATACCTAGGGATACCTCGTGTGAGACACGAGAATTGCTGGTACAGAAGCCAGAGTTGTCGAAGACGTCGACAGGGAATCAGGCCGCTTTTGAAATGAATCGGAGAGAATATCCAACATCAACATGTAAGATAAACATAAATAAGTTAATTTCAAGTTATAACTTATGCAAAATTATTGAAACTAACTTGTTATTGTAATAACCCAATAGAGCAAAGATTAAATTTACGTTTGCATTGCAGTGTAGGTACCAACTTTGATGACATTGCAATTTACCTAAATCCAAACCAATATTACTAAGCTTTTTTTTTATTATAGCTAACAACAGTCTTTCTACAGTTAACATCAGAAGTATGTCTTTGTAAGTGCAATCATAAATTATTACATGTTATAGCTTTTCCCCGTGACAAGCCTTGCGGAATTTTATTAAATCAATTAGTAATAAATATAGTATACGAGTAGTTATATTATAATTTATTGCAATACCTTAGTAGTAGTTTCTAATGGAAAAGATATTTTGATATCGGTACAGAACCTTTTGAGTTTATTCGCTACAAAAAACGCGTCTAGTGTATATTTACTAATTGTAGCATATTTTAAATTGTCTGTCTGTCTTACATATATTTATGATGATTTCTTCCTAGTGTTTTTATTTATTTTCTAGCCTCATCGTACAAAAATCCAGAGAGCAGCCCAGCAACACAGACCCAATGCAAAGGGTGGAAACAGTTAATAAAAGTGTTGACACTTCACACTCGGTATTACGTCAGAGAAATGAAATAAGTGAGTAAATAACCAATTTCGGTGATATTTAGGACTTAAGAAAAAGCATCGTATATAATAAAAATAGTTAATAAACAATGAAATCATCATCATCATCAGCTCACTATACGTCCCCACTGAGGGGCTCAGAGCCTACCCTAATAAGGGGTGACTAGGCCATAGTCAACCACGCTGGCCAACTGCGGGTTGGTTGACTTCACACATATCTTTTGAATTTCTTCGCCGATATGTGCAGGTTGCATCTCGATGTTTTCCTTCACCGTAAGAATGTCGGGTAAATTGTGTACATAGGAAAATTCGAAAAATCGAAAATCACATTGGTACAGCGGGACTCGAACCCAAGACCTGTAGATTACAAGTCAAGTGTTCAAACCACTGAGCCACCGACGCTCAAACAATGAAATAATATAAAATAATTTAATGATTTATTTTCAGCAAACACGACACCAATGCACAACAAGACACACACAGCGTGAGTTATAATTTTAATTTTATTCATATGTGCAAAAAGACACCCAGATTCATCATAATTTAAAAAATAAAGATATAATGTACTTATTTACTTTATTTTTATTGCCTATTTACCCACAAAATTCTTGTGATGAATTGTCGAATCATTTTTTTTCACGTTAGTGTTCATCTGCATGAAATTAAAAAAAAAATTATAAACTTGATTTTATTTCTTTATATTTGTGATTTTTCAATTGCAAATATCAAAATTCAAATGCACAAATGACAACTATGGAAAACTTTGCGTCCTTGATGTTGGCAGCTTGTAGCTTATTGTCCCTTTCCCACATAAAAGTTTTTCCAATTCATTTACCCCCTAAATTTAATAGCGTAAAAATGTATAGCCTAAAGCATGTTGTAAGTGTAGGGCTTTTTATTAAAGGTAGAATTATTCAAAAATATGCTGTGATCGCTGACATCCTACGACACGAAGTAGTGTGTGTTTACGCTTTATTATAATAGTATAGATAGATGTTTTAGCAGTAAGCTATTATACTATTTTATATCTCAGTGTCGGCTCCAGTCATTTTGTAGAGACGGTATATCGGCCTG